GAATACCGTTATGTTGACATACGTAACATTAAGAATAAGTAAGTAAGTAAAAAGTAGTAAGTAGGTAAATAGTTAACTTTAACTATTTTTGGTTAACTAACAACTGACGTTGCGCATAAATCAATCCTCACTAACCAACTCAATCATCGTTGGGATAAAAAGTTCAGTATCTTACTTAGTTCGAAAACATATCAAGAGATGCTTATTCCAAGAAATATGATCGTATTTACACGGACGTGCTTACTGTCTGCAATTTTCTATATGATTAGGAAAACAATTTATTTCTTTACTTGTCTAATTTTTATTTTATGAACTATTAAAATTTTAATAGTAGTATTTCAATTGCTTTATTTTCTTGAAGGAGTAATAGTATCAGAATTTAAACGAACGTATTGAAAAATGAATCAATTAATTCTTACAACAATAAAAATAGACTTAATATCAGTTTATAACATGTGTACATAATACATACTAACTACAATACATAATACATGCAACTACAATAGATAAAACATTATATAGCTACGTATTTTGTTTGGCGATCCCAGATATTTCGTTTTAACACGCATGTCTTTATCTTGGTAGTCATTCGTAAACACTTTACTAATTAATCTATACTAATATTATAAAGCTGAAGAGTTTGTTTGAACGCGCTAATCTCAAAAACTACAGGTCTTATTTGAAAAATTCTTTCAGTATTAGATAGCCCATTTATTGAGGAAGGCTATAGGCTATACAACATCACGCTAAGACTAATATAAGCGGAGCACCAATAAGGAATGTTTCAAAATCGAGGTTTTCTCCCCTTTTCAGAGCTTCCGCTTCGTGCACTGCAGAAACGGTTAAAGTTTCTCTAAAATAATGTATAACAGAATTGTTCCGACAGCATATGTGAAGGTTGGCTCACTATAACGTTTTTTATGCTAACCAAATTTGTTCTAAACTATTCCACGCGGACGAAGTCGCGGGCAAAAGCTGGTACAAAATAAATGTGTACGTTATTTATGCTCCAAAAGTAATCATATAGATAATTTGAGTGAACCACAGATTCCGATCAACGACCGACTTCCATACCACGGACACAACGTGCGCTCTCCTTACATAAAAATATACCGGATCTATTTAATTAACTTTTCCGGGCATTACTAACATTTTATATCCGGTTTTTATGCTCTGACGGTTATTGTCCGCGCTCAATATCGGCCGGTTTATTGTCGCCGGATCACGGACCGGTCAGGATTCTTTGTCAAAAGCCCGGATTGAGTTGGGTCGCGCTTGTTATGTGCGGTCCGATTGCACCGGACCGACTGAGGTTTTTTACGTAGAAGAAGAGTTATGAGACATCCCGTAATTGATTGTTCCCGGTATATTAGTTTATCCGGTTCTAAGAAATGCGGGTGTCATCATTGAAAGTGTGTTTTCATATATAGAGATTTAACGATAAAAGTATTACCGGAGAAATTCACGTACAACATTCAAAGAACAAACATAATATCTATAGTAATATTATAAAGAGGACAGATTTGTTTGTTTGTTTGTATTGAATAGGCTCCGAAACTACTGAACTGATTTGAAAAATTCTTTCACTGTTTCGAAGCTACACTATTCCCGAGTGACAGAGGATAATCTTTTTTGAAAAAAATTGGGGATCCTTATTAAAACTCCAATTATGTAAACCAAGGTGTAAAAAAATACCTAAAATATTCTTTACATCGCGTGCCCTGCGAAAACTATTAATGATGGAATAAAATAATGTACTACGACTTTGTAAAACACATTCTTTTTTACAAAAAGGGGCGCGACAGCCTATGTCTATTATAGTTATGCAGCAATAACCGTTCTTTTATTTTAAAAATAAAACAACCTCAAATATCGTTGAAATTTTTGTTAAATACCCGAGCGGAGCCGGACCGGGCTGCTGGTTATGTAATATTTAATTTAAATGTTTTATTGTATGATTATTATAATATTTTGTACTTTGCACCATATGATAGCCATGAAGAAACACCAAAACACGAAAGCCATTTCCTCGGAAGTCATGACACCTCAAAGTATAAAATATTTTGAGGTGTGTAGAGTAGTCCCATCAAACTAGAATAGAAAATTACAGCAGAAAGCAGTACAATGGTATTTACCGTACGTTTTCTAAAGAAATTAGCATTTGTTAATCAATACCATCTCAGAAGCTTAATATATCGGGTTTATTTCTATAACAAAAGGAAATTATTTCAGAATTCATATTTCATGTCATGATGATTTTTATCTCGTTGAAATGAAAAGCTAGTTTGACGGATGTTTTTATTAGCAAAGAGAAGTAGATATGTTATCGGATGTTTCTTCCGTCCGTCTTGAGAAATTTGTTTGTCCACGGGTATTCTATTGCATTTTTTCTATTGCTTAGATGGGTGGACGAGCCCACAACCCACCTGGTGTTAAGTGTTTACTGGAGCCCATAGACATCTACAACGTAAATGCGCCACCCACCTTGAGATATAAGTTCTAAGGTCTCAGTATAGCTACAACGGCGCCGCATCCTTCAAACCGAAACGCATTACTGTTTCACGGCAGAAATAGGCGGGGTGGTGATACCTACCCGTGTGGACTCACAAGAGGTCTACCACCAGTTAAAACTGCCAGTACTTGACCAAGAAAATATGGACTTAAAGTCTCTGTTGGGTTGAAACAGTAGGTTCTCCCTCCGTAGGACTTGAAAGCGCGATAGATTTTTAAGGCAAATGAACAAGACGTAACACCATGCCGTAACACGTAACATAACACCGTTTATGAAAATTGAATAAAACCAAAGGATGCTTCTACTATGAACTAAAGTGGAAGAAGAGACAATAGGTCCAGATAGTCCAGTCACGTTATATCATATAGCCAGTAATTCTGATGGCCACGTAATGGACATAAATCACGTAAAGCCTTTAGTTTGTCAACACCCGCAAATGTTTGGCCATTTAGATTTATTTCTCTGTTTAGAGTTATCAAGTTGAATTATGAGAGAGCACTAATTGGGAAGTTTGTTTTGACTGTCGCTTGTATCGTTTATATGTTTTGGTGTTCCGGTTAATTAGAAACTAGGTTGATACGAAACTAATTTATCAATTGGTTTTTTTGGGTAATGTTACGCCGGTAAGAGTAACGCCATCTATCACCGAATAGCCGAACGAATATAGAAGGATCTAATAACATCTAGAACACTCGATAAGTACTACACCATCTATTGTCAGAAAGCGGAAACACCATCGAAGGTACTCAACTTGTGAGGAATGTTCTCGACGATTCTAGGGATGTCGTATCGACTACAAAAGCATTGCAGAGATGGCACGCAGTCAGTTAGTAATCGGAACAACTCGAAGCAAAACAGCGAACTGATCATCAGAAGCGAAGCGGAAGAAGTGAATTAAGGATGTTAAAGTTTTCTGTGGGTGTTCTAAGTGATAAATATAGTTTTAAATTGTACTTTGGTGGAACATTTATTTATCCCGAACCCCAACGCGTAACATTATGTGTGTTATGTATGTTAAAATGTTGTACAAATTGGTGCCATCGTACGGACTTAGCGGTACGTGGTCTGCACTCGAGGATCTTTCTGCCACATTCGCCGTTCAATCGTCGCGCTATATGGCCTGCCCACTGCCACTTCAGCGGGCTATGTCAGCTACTTTGGTTCTTCTACGGATTTCCTCATTTCTGATGTGTGGAATGGCCATCTATCAGATGGACCGACGACATAGTGAAAAACGCTGGGTCACCCTAGATGCAAGTGGCAACGGACCGGCTGCATTGGACCTCAATTGGCGAGGCCTATGTACAGGAGTGGACAGTGGATAGGCTGAGATGATGTACAGACTTGCAATAAGAGCAAACTTTGTTTGAATCTTTTTATATAATATTAAAACTTATACTTTGAGACAAGCGTCCAACTGAAGTCTGTTAAAACGTTATTTGTAGATATTTTATAGGTAATTTTCTAAAACCTTTCTGAGTTTCTAGACCCTCGAAAAATTACTTTAACACCTTCATTTTGCGTTTACTATGTCGTTTTTTTTTGTTGTTGTTTCAAGTACTTTAGATATCCAATACGTTATCAGGAATAAATTTCGCGTAAGCGCGACTTTAAATTATAAAAGAAGTTTGTAGTATGAGGGTGGCATCGAAAAAGGGTAATATTAGAATTCAATCACAGGAATAATGACAGGATAATTAAGATATTTGCGAAAGCGGGGGTTCTACGAAGTAGGGAACAAGTCTACTCCCTTTGGTAAAAAGAAAATATTGTTATATTATGTACATGTATTCTAAGTTGTGTGCATTTCTGCCGGGAAGCAGTTATGCGTTTCGGTTTGAAGGGTGGGGCAGCCGTTATAACTATACTGAGACATTAGAACTTATATCTCAAGGTGGGTGGCGCATTTACGTTGTAGATGTCTATGGACTCCAGTAATCACTTAATACCAGGTGGACTGTGAGCTCGTCCACTGATCTAAGCAATAAAAAAAGTATGTATGTATGTACCTAGCGTACTTGTGTTGTGCTTGGTTGTTCACTTCACATAAACACTTATCTTTATATAATCAATATTTCTTCTGTGCGTGTGTTTGTCACTGAACTCCTCCTAAACAGCTGGACCTATTTGAATGATTTTTTTCTGTATGCGTTTGGGTGGCGCCCTGGATGGTATAGATTCGCAAATCAGCCCGACAGATGGCGCTGCAGTCGGTATCTAGGTTATTTATCTTTCTTAGAAATAATCTATATAGCAAAACAACGTTTGCCAGGCCAGCTAGTTACCTATATTAATACGAATTATTTGATTACCTTAAATGCCCCTCTGAAATAATTTGCAATATTTATGTTATATTTTGAGTTTTGATTTTTGTCCAATATTTTTAATTTAATTCTATTCTATTGTCTTTTGTTTCAGGTACAACGTGGACAGCATAATGACGAACGTTGATTCTAGTGAAGTGTAATGTAGTTTGTTTGAAACAGCAATGGGGTTCCCGTGCTTATGTGTTTTCGCTTTCGTCTTGGCGTGGATATCAGGTATGGCATTCTTTAATTTATTATCTATTTTTAGCCAGACCCAAATAAGGCTTCAGAGGCCTCGAAGAACTAAATCTCTTCCCAAAGGAAAGCCGCGGCAGGACGCGAGACCCCACCATAATTGTTCACGATTGACTTCCACGGTGAAGGAATAACATCGTGTAATAAAAATCAAACCCGCAAAATTATAATTTGCGTAATTACTGGTGGTAGGACCTCTTGTGAGTCCGCACGGGTAGGTACCACCGCCCCCGCCTATTTCTGCCGTGAAGCAGTAATGCGTTTCGGTTTGAAGGGTGGGGCAGCAGTTGTAACTATACTGAGACATTAGAACTTATATCTCAAGGTGTGTGGCGCATTTACGTTGTAGATGTCTATGGGTTCCAGTAACCACTTAACACCAGGTGGGCTGTGAGCTCGTCCACACATCTAGGCAATAAAAATAAAATTAAAAAAACGTATTTTCCCAAGAGCGCCTCACGAGGCCATGATCTTCAGCATTGAAGATTATCGACGCGAGTACGGGAAATACATTATTATTATATAATAGTTTAATATATTGTTTTATATTATTCAGTACTATATCTTTCTCTTCGATCGGTTCCTCGCTGCTGAGGATCGTGACTCCGTCCGATTCCGTCAACCAGCTGTCTCCATCGATCCCGTTTTGTAGCTTGTTGGAGTGCGTCGCTGACAGGTACTCTCAGTGCCTCCGCTATTTGGTCCGACCATCGTTTGGGACCTCTACCCCTAAGCCTTTTCCCTTCTATTTTACCGGTCACCACAAGGCGTTCCAAATTGCTGGTATCCCTGCGTGCAACATGACCAAAATACCGCAATATTCTTTGTAATATATATACCTTGAAATTATTATATACCGTAAATATTTCCATCTCACAAATAACATATATGACTAATTTAATGCATTAAATAAATGGCAAAAAATTGAACTAGATTTTATTGTTTTGATTAGTTCGGTGGCAAAGTTATGCGTTCTTTCATGAAAGTCAAAATGTCTAGTCTATGAGAGGAGACCGCGTTATGATGCTCATAGGATTATTCACTTAACGTCAGAAGATCCTCTGTCTCTTCTACGCGACTAAAGTACCTAAAACAATATGTTCTAAATTTGTGAAGGTTTCAAATTCCATGTTGGCTCGTAGTCAAGAGTCTGCCAACAGTTAATTATGACAATGTTAATGGCACGGGCAACATGCTTTTAAAACGCTTGCTAAAAAATGGTATATTATTTTGGCAAATCTATTAATTAAGCATTCGATTTTAAAAACTTCAATACTATTCGCAAACTTTTCTTTTTTCAACCTAACTCTACTGCTTTCTTAATTATAGTGAAAATGCTTTTAGCTGATTAACTTCCAGCATTGGAGGTCTTCCAAGCGTAAATCAAGCTTAATGCAATTAAAGATAGCTAGCTAAGTTAATCTCTGATTAAATACGCGTTGATAGTCAAAGATTTACTATGTCAATATAATTTCAACTTAAGTGATAAATGAAAGTCGAAAACGAATTTTTCATATAAACATTGATTAATTGGTTACTGATTAGTAACTACAAACAGACCGTTGTTATCAATCGTTCCATTTTGTATTTATCTTTCCTTGCATCTGTATCCAATATCCTTATAAACTCTGTATCTAACGGTTCTCTCTTTCGTGTGGATCCGTACTTTGGTGGCATAATCTACATTTTATCTACCGCATCTCATATTTCCGAACACTTCGTTACGTAATTCGCAACAAGAAAATTTTCTTCAAGACAGTAAAACGGTATCACTTATGGATCCATCATTGCGTTTCAGTTGGAGGTTGTTTCATAGCTTAAAGGTATTTCGTTAAAATTATTCTAAGTTTGAATTCAGTTCTATTTAACATTACATTCTATTTAACTTTTAAAAATTAAACCTTAACAAACAAATAAACAAGGTTCTTTTCATTAAAATAGCTTTAAAAAAGGAACAATCCAGATCATTCAATATAAATTCATCGTTCTTGTCGTTTTAAATCCTGTAAATCGTGTATTTATTTATTTGTTAGCCTTTGTTTTGCCTCAACCTCTCATAGCTTTTAATTTAATTATTTATAAAAGAAAACCTTCTCTGAAAAATGGCTGCATCGACTTTTCATACTGTGATTAGTTCATTTTTCATTTTAAATTCGAATGGCTGAAATCGTGGATACTTGACCACTTATTTTTAATATAATGAGATATATTCTTGAATTGGTCGGCGTTGTCTATGACCACAAGATGACTTATAAACGGCTTATACGCCACCATCCATCCATTATAGTCTTTATATTGAAAACATTACATCACATTTTGACTTATACATATAATCTATGTATGAAGTCGTCGTGGCCTAAAGGATAAGACGTCCGGTGCATTAGTATGTAGCGATGCACCGGTGTTCGAATCTCAGGCGGGTACCAATTTTTCTAATGAAATACGTACTTAACAAATGTTCACGATTGACTTCCACGGTGAAGGAATAACATCGTGTAATAAAAATCAAACCCGCAAAAATTATAATTTGCGTGATTACTGGTGGTAGGACCTCTTGTGAGTCCGCACGGGTAGGTACCACCTCCCTGCCTATTTCTGCCGTTAAGCAGTAATGCGTTTCGGTTTGAAGGGTGGGGTAGCCGTTGTAACTGTACTGAGACCTTAGAACTTGTATCTCAAGGTGCGTGGCGCATTTACGTTGTAAATGTCTATGGGCTCCAGTAACCACTTAACACCAGGTGGGCTGTGAGCTCGTCCACTCATCAAGGCAATAAAAAAAAAAAAAATATATACATATAAAAATGAAATGCTGTTCGTTAGTCTCGCTAAAAAACTCGAAAACGGCTGGACCAATTCGGCTAATTTTGGTCTTCAATTATTTGTGGAATTCCAAAGAAGGTTTAAAAGGTAGATAAATATGAAAATGCTCAGAATTAAATAAAAATAACAATTTTGTTTTTCCTTTGATGTCCCCCCCATCGGACGGATTCCTTTTGTTTGTTTTAAGTTTATTTTATACAAAAGTTTTGGTCTTTTATTTATCGATTGAGGCACTACGAAGTCTGTCGGGTCAGCTAGTAATNAATTATTTGTGGAATTCCAAAGAAGGTTTAAAAGGTAGATAAATATGAAAATGCTCAGAATTAAATAAAAATAACAATTTTGTTTTTCCTTTGATGTCCCCCCCATCGGACGGATTCCTTTTGTTTGTTTTAAGTTTATTTTATACAAAAGTTTTGGTCTTTTATTTATCGATTGAGGCACTACGAAGTCTGTCGGGTCAGCTAGTAATAAAAATAATTTAAAATGGTCACGAGGACTTTATAAATAACGTCTGAAGTAATTCAAAATCGATCAACATTAGGCCACTGATAAGGGAAAAACATACAGAATTTTTCCTTCATTTCGTCGCGAGCGTCCAGCTGAGAAGAAAAAGATCGGTGTCCGAGTAAAAAATGTGATTCCCCTTAATATCCACGATCTGTCTGAATATTATTCAATTTGTTCGATCAGATATCGAATTTTCGTTGGATATAGTTTTTTGTGTGCACGCTTAGGAGATATATCACAAAACCATAAAAACTAGAAGATAAAGATATACAATTTGGGATAAACGAAGATGTTTTTACTAGTAGGAAGGCGGAAATGTTTTTACTAATAGGAAGGCGGGGATGTTTCAAATTCAAAATTATTTGTTTCATATGTCATGTAATATGTTGATTCAGAGTGTGATCACAAAAAGTACAGGCGAAACAAACATGACTTGTTATTTAATTTTTCCGCTATTATGTATGTTCCTTTGTGACCATCGTCAACTGCGTGAACAATTGAACTAAAGCTTCAACCGGCAAACCATGCGCGAACACATCGACAAACAAACACATATACATTCAATTTAGATACATTGTTAATCCTTAGATAAAGTCAATGGGTCCAGTGCGGATTGCGATTCCTTTAAGTTAGTTACATTGTTTACTTGCANAATTTTTCCGCTATTATGTATGTTCCTTTGTGACCATCGTCAACTGCGTGAACAATTGAACTAAAGCTTCAACCGGCAAACCATGCGCGAACACATCGACAAACAAACACATATACATTCAATTTAGATACATTGTTAATCCTTAGATAAAGTCAATGGGTCCAGTGCGGATTGCGATTCCTTTAAGTTAGTTACATTGTTTACTTGCAATTTACATTAAACCACTAATACTGTGTATGGATGAGGTATGTACCTATATATAATAATACACAATATATTTTTTGTTTTTTATTTTATATTTTTAACAGTCTCGCTTGGGAGGTAGATTTGTTGGTAGCTATGAATACTATACCAATTAGATTCATTACCATAGTCAAAAACAAAATATTTTAGAAGCTTAGGCATACTTATCCTTAATATTTCCTGTAGTCACTGAGTTTCTCGCCGGATCTTCTAAGCAGGTCGCGTTTCCATCCGGTGGTAGATTCTGCGAAGCTTTTGCTAGGGCTAGTGTTAGAGCCCCGTGAGCTCACATACTCGCCCAGTTAAGCTGGCATAACGCCTTAGGCTACCGGTATAGGTAGAAAACAAAAAAAGAACGGCTGCCAAAATAAATGAAAAATGTCAGTTAAATCAAAGAAATAATTTGCAAAAAAGTATTATAGATGTATAAAAATTTTTAGTACAATAATCGTCAAAAAAAATTTGAATATCATAGGAATATTTGAATAAACTTCCAGGCCCAAGTCCTTCCTTGCCCACAAAAAGGGATTTCACAAACCGAATGTCCGATTTGATTACTGTCTTACTTCACAGAATCGAATATTCGTTATGCCGATGAAACTTTTCTTGCAGAGTTTCCGCTGAATTCTCTTTGACCCGACGCCATTATTAGCAATACTCGCTTTCAATATTAACGCTCGAACGTTAGCTACGAGAGACGTTTTGTCCTAAGAAATTGAGATTCTAAATTTTTATTTTTTTGCGTCACAAAGAA